CATGACTGTAAATAGCGAGAATCGCTGGCCAGGCTAAAAAAATCGAAAATTCTGATAAATTGTCACAAAAACCCCTTTGAGGAACTATCTTCGAAAAAAATATGTTTTAAATTTTCAAGAATCTATAGTTTTCGAGAAAATGAGGAAAAACGAAAATAGCAGTTTTTACCTAATCAGTTATGCAAAAATTAGAGTAAAAATGAGCTACTTTACCGCGTCTGTACCGAGGCAAGATTCAAAGCTATAAAACAAAAATATTTTAGTTTAAAAGAATTTTATCTTTTCTTTTCATCCACGGCATGTTTTAAACCATAAACATGATTTTGAATTTTTTACGGTTTTTTTAAAAACTACCATCAAACGCACTTTTTAAAATGGGTAAGAAATGGGCAACTTCAAAGGCAAAAACCTCACCGGGGTTGTGATTGGCTCGGCGCTATCAAAGGGCTGGCAATCTGGTCCAGAGGCTTTTCGCGAGGGTCACTTTTTAAGACTTGACCGAAACCGGAAACCGCGCATGAAAAGTCTCTGACACCCAGGGTAGCCGCAGCTGAGATTGGCCGAGGACTGTCGGGAAAGAAATAGGTGATGCTTACCTTGATTATTTTGTGATTAAATATTAATTAGAAACTGGCATTTGTAGCGCGAAGAAGTTAGATTTCGTGACATTAGGTCTCACAATAATGTAGACAAAGTCCGAGTATATTTACGATATAAAATGATGTAACTGCATGCATTTTCTTAGGCTAAATAAGGTTAAAGAACGTGCGGTTTTGTAATAGTCACTTAATTTAGATACATTTCGAAGGAAACTCTTACTGTACATGTGATTAATGTAAAAATACTGCCTTACGTAAGGATAGTAGAAAAACCACTGTACACTTAGAATGTTTTAGTTGATCGTTTAGTTACGTTGATAGTTGATCGTTGATCGTTGTGTTACGACCGTGGAATAGGTGAGAATTGTACATCGCTGTAGATTGTTGGTTTGAATTAAATCGTGTGGTTACATCGAAAGATACGGTCCTCTTGATTTGTTTGAACCAGCGAGCGGGGTTATAAGATTCCGCAACAAAGACTTATAAGTTGCGAAATAGAAGCATTATAATCAAAAGAAATAACAATTAAAAAGAAGAAAGAAAACAAAATTCAGTAGGAGTACACCATATTTGCTTTTCGATCAGTTTTCTCCTCCTCATCATCATGATTTAAAATTCTGAACCAATTAACTTGTCTCTGTTTCGCAACATTGTCAGAATCTTAGAGTGCGCCTAAATTAATAACTTTTGGTGTTTGTTTAACCATGACACTTACTATTATTGCAAAGATCTCCCTCACAACATTGCAAACGTTGGTCATCAAAGTGTCTGCATTGATCAGCGGATATACATCCTTGAATGGTGACTTGTTCGTTATCCTCCGTTTTGTTGTCAAATTTGAAACAAAGGTTTTCTGGGAATGAACAGTTGACTTTGATGGTATCCGATGAGTCGTTGTTTGGGTTCTGATAACAAATACTGCCTGTGGAGAAATGCAGGATAACTGAGAGGGTACTCGCCTTATTACGTAGTCTGCTACACAGCCGTTTTTAGTGTCGTCACGCAACGCTCCTCCCCACAAAGTTAGTGGGGAGGAGCATTGCGTGACGACACTAAAAACGGCTGTGTAGCAGACTACTTATTACGTGGGTGTTTTAGATACAGAATATCTGACAAGGTCAGGGGCACCCAACGAGAATATAGTTCGAAATCACTCAAACATAGCATTGTTAAACGTATTTTAATACTTAAACGGTAGGTATGGGCATATTTTTTTTCCCTAAAAATTTTTCATCTGTTCGGATTTCCTAGCTGAAAGTGTAGTAATCCGAAAATTATAGGGATCAAAACTTACATTTTCGAAAATTTCAGCCAGAAAAAAAGTTCCCGAAAATTCTAGGTGACCTTTTTAGGGTAAAAATCCGTTAAAGATGGGCAATTATACCATTTTTTAGATGTTCGAAAATCCTAGGAGAGGCAGGCAAGCAAGAAATTTTACAAAAAATGTTCCGGAAATTCTAGATCTCAAATCGACTTCCGAACAGCTATTTTCCGAAAATTGACCTTGGGTGCCCCTGCAAGGTCACTACGGAAGGCTTGGCGAAAGAAAGGTATGAGACAAAAAATGCCATTAAAGTAGCTAAGCGGCAGTATTTCAGATAATCTGGAAATGAGCAAAGGAAACACGCGCAAAACATGGGGTAACATCGCGCAAATAATATAATGAAAAAATCGAAACATCTGAAATTAAGATTGAAAATTAATTCTGCAAACCAACTCGTTAAACCTATCAACAATTTTTTTTTCACAACTATCGGCCCTGATCTGGCAAGGGAGATATCCAAGACAAATTTCGAAGCGGAGTCTTATCTTCCTCTCGTTTCCCTAGCCCCAAACGCCAAAACGATTTGAAATTTGTTGAGTGAAATATTTGTAAACAAAAGGAAAGTGTAAGTAATCGAAAGTGGCCAAAGGTATTGTTTGGCCTTCATTATCAAGCATTAAAAACAGATAGAAACTGGGATTTTCCCAAGCAAATGAAGGCGGCCAGAGTAACCCCAGTAGTAATAGTCGCTACTGGGTGGCACGACCAATCAGAATCGAGTATTCAAACACGTGACTGAATTAATTAACTCTCGACCAATCAGCGTCCAGGATTTCATGGGGTTAGTACTACATGTAAAACCATCACGAAAAGTCTCCCAACATCCCCCCGTCATGTAAGACACACGAAAAGTCACGTTTCAACCAATTTTATTCTGACGTCATACCTAGCGTTACAATCGGGACGTGTGTGACCTCCTAGTGACGTCACGCCCATTTCGTTTTAAAAAGTTTAAAAAGTCATCAAAAAAATGCCCGGGAAAGCGGAGGTTCAGTGGCCATCGCCAGTACTGGCAAGAAGTTCTCGCTTTCGGCCGATGAGTCCAGCCAGCCACGTGGGACTCGAGGCTTACAGGTTCGAATCCTGTCGGGAACGGTATTTTTTTTATTTACAAATCTAATAAAATATCTACATTTTGTGCGTCGCACTCTGTCAACACTCGGTATCCAAAAGGATAACTGATTTGGCTAATGGTTACATCATCACTTAACGTGTAGTCTACCAAATTGTCTCTGTAACTTAGATCTTGGTTCGCAGGTAGGTCCTTTTTTCAGATGATACAATTAACATATTTTGTTGTAATCTTCGCTTGAACAAATTGCTCATTTCCAATAAGGCATCAGGATAATCGTAGATATTGCGTAATAATGGCAGTTCTGCTGATCAACGTGGGTTTCATAATCTGCTTCTCCGTCATTTCCTCACACCATACTTTTTGAAATGCAATCCGTTGTAGCTGTAGTTTGTTGGAAAACGGACCACCATAACAGAATTATTTCTCAGCCATAGTTGTCTTTGGACAAACACGACGCGGGTTGATTATGCAAAAATCTTCAACTTAAGACCAGGTATCGTGTAAAAAAAAATGCAATTAAGAATTAGCCGTTTAACTTTTGTCTTTTTTAAAAAAATAAGCGATTAAGACATTGAGTTCCCACTTCGAAAAAAGTCAAGGAATGTTGTTTCACAATCATCTAGAACATGTTGTATTTCTTTGCGAAATTGTAATTCTCTGTCTATCGACAAACCTATGAAATACCTGTCGCAAAAACGACAAGACGATTCAGAAAAAGAGGGCTCTTTTAACCCTGATTGGATAGTGAACAATCTATTATGTGTTCAACATACAAACGCGGTCTCCGTTCAATCATGATTTCGTTCTTAAAAGTTCAGTTTGCTCGGGAAAAAGTCTTAACTCTCACCAATATTCTTTGAAATATTGTCCATCGTCAAAGGATAGCCAGTTTTATTGGACATGTATTCTAACTGACTTATGGGGCTTTGGTGGACAAACTCATCCAACAAGAAAAGCTGAATCACTGCGACGGTTGAACTATTCAACACCCAAGTCAAAACCAACATTCTTGCCTCATGATGGATAATGATGACGCGTGGAAGTATTACCACGATGAAGTGGTGGAACAAATTGACCTAAATTCTATGTTGAACGCTACCGAAAGTATATGCAGTGCTCTCGGCTTCAAACTAGATAAATCATGGGAAGCGTACTGCCAAATATTGTCGTGGACCAGTATTTACCTCGCTTCTCTGGAACTTGATGTTGTCCAGCAGGGTGGTGATCTTCAAAGCCGTATTTTATACGCTGTATACTACCGACCAAATGGGCTCAAGTGGAAGGATTTCAGTGATCAACAAGAAACAATAGAATGCCCTGATAGAGTCGTGAGAAAAGAAGAACACCAATGGACCCTGACATGATAATTAATGACATTCAAAATAAGCTTTGTTTCTAAAAGTAATAAAATTTCTTCATGATGACTAAAATTTTGAGTCGGTGTGTGTTTGTCTCTGTCTTTGTCAAGATGGGGGCTTTCTCTGTCTTTAGGTCTTTTCTCTCTGTATCGGTCGAGTTTTTTTCTCTGTATCCATTTGTTCATAGTTTTATGGTTTAATATACTAAACACGGTTTGTTGTCTGTCTAGCCGCGCGCGTGTGTGCGCCACGCGCGATTCAATCACCCGCGTAAAGGAAAAACACAGTGATATACAAGGCCCTTGTGGCCCCTGTGGCCCCTGTGGCCCGTTCTCAATAGTCATAAACTTCGTGTCATTAGCGGTTTTAGTCACTTGATATCGAACCTTCGTACCGTGAACATCATGGGTAAGCGTGTATGTCGTCATTGCCTGATACCGGGATGTCACTCTAAATTTTTAGTTCGATTAGCAAACCATTTGGCTCAGGTACACGAGCTGTCTGACTTAGAGAGAAAATATTGGCTCCAGTTTGCTAAATTACAAAATACCAGCATGGTTCGAGTTTATGATAAAGATACTCCGCCAAAGACCATTTCGCTATAAATAAGAGCAAACGCAGTTGAACCGGTCAGTTGTCAACATGGACCCAAGGTGGAAACACCCCTTTCCTGCTATTGTAGCTGGCCCGACTTGTTGTGGAAAAAGTCATTTTGTCAAACACCTGTTGGAATCTGGAAAAGAATTAATAGACGGAGCTCCTGAAAATATCATTTGGTGTTATGGAATATACCAACCGGCTTATGATGAAATGCTAAGGACTATTCCCAACATCACGTTCGTCGAAGGAGTTCCTGGTGATTTAGAATCTATGATAAACCCAACCATTGGGAATTTAGTGGTCATTGACGAGTTAATGCAGGAGCTTAGCAATGATCAAAGAATTACCAATTTGTTTACTAAGGGCTGTCATCACCGAAATTTAAGCGTTATTTTCATTCTTCAAAATATTTTTCACCGGGGAAAAGAACTGAGAGACATGAGTTTGAATTGCCATTATTTGGTGATGTTCAAGTCTCCGCGAGATAGCAGTCAAGTCAGTCACTTGGCGAAACAGATGTTTCCCGGTCATGTCAAATACATGCAAGAAGCGTTTCAGGATGCGACAAAACGCCCTTATGGCTACCTGTTATCGACTTTTCTCTGTATCGCATTGTATATAAAGAGTTTTCCTTTATGTGTAAAAAAATGTCATTTGTTCATAGTTTGTAAATGAATATGGTTTAATATACTAAACACGGTTTGTTGTCTGTCTAGCCGCGCGCGCGTGTGTGCGCCACGCGCGATTCAATCACCCGCGTAAAGGAAAAACATAGTGATATGCAAGGCCCTTGTGGCCCCTGTGGCCCCTGTGGCCCGTTCTCAATAGTCATAAACTTCGTGTCAACCAATGGACCTTGACTATGATAATTAATGACATTCAAAATAAGCTTTGTTTCTAAAAGTAATAAAATTTCTTCATGACTAAATTGTGAGTCAGTGTGTGTTTTTCTCTGTCTTAGTCAAGATGGGGCTTTCTCTGTCTTTGCTTCGGATCGACTTTTCTCTGTATCGCGCACAAGCCAAAACATTGAAAGTGTCTTCAAGTGAAATGGAAATGCTTCAACAAAAATTTAAAGATCTGCCGGGTTCGAGTCTAGAAAGGTTGAAAAAACTCCACTCTGAGGTCTTTTCAAAAGTAAACTGGGGACAATTGGTGGTATTTTTGAACTTCGCGGATCAGCTAGAATTAACCGAGGAGGAATGGGAACTACTATTTCACCTTCTTGTTCCCACTCTCACCCAGATTCGACAGTAGCTATATAAAGGAGCACCAGGGAGAGAGAAGTCATTACATCTTTTACCGTTCAGGTAAACACTAGTGATGGGTTGCTGTCCGCCATCATCCACTTTTGGTTTTGAACACATTTTCAGTCGCATACGTTGTGTATTAGCTTGCTGCGGTGGTAAAGTGGTTGTACAAAACTCGGAATTTTGTCATGGAGAAAAAACTAGCCAGCATCTACCTCGACCCAAGACAACCCGCAAGTTTCGGTGGCTTAGATGCTGTTTACAGAGCCGTCAAAGAGAAAGGAAAGAACAAGATATCGCGTAAACAAGTCCGAGATTGGTTGAGTCAGCAAGATGTTTATACTCTTCACAAACCCGCGCGAAGACGCTACAAGAGAAGTCGAGTCATCGTGTCTGGAATAGATGAGCAATTTCAAGCGGATTTGGTCGACCTCCAAAATCTCAGTCGCTACAACAAGGGCTATAAATACTTACTGTCTTGTATAGATATCTTCAGTAAGTACGCGTTTTTGTTACCGTTGAAGACAAAACAAGGTCAGGAACTGGTCAAAGCTTTTCAAAAGATGCTTTCTACTGGTCGCAAACCCATCAAACTGCAAACAGATCAAGGAACAGAGTTCAAGAATCTCGTGTTCCAGAAATTTCTGCGTGACTGAACAACATTGCCTTTTTCACTGTTAACTCTGGGCTCAAAGCCTCAGTTGTTGAGCGTTTTAACCGAACATTTAAGAATAAGATGTACAAATATTTTACCTCAGACCGTTAGCTTGACGGGGGACTGGGAAGTAGCGTTAACGGAAATTCACTATCCTCACAGCTGGAATAATGTCCAAGAAAATTTTGGTAATCGATTCTACCTTCGGAACCAAGAATTGTCCGGAGTATGGGAAGCCCTAATTGTACCACCAGGTCATTATTCTTCCATTGGAGAAATCTTATCAAAGATGAAAGGGCTGATCGAGAATGTAAAGCGTTTCAATGACGACGTGACATTTTCCTACGATGCCTTCACTAGAAAGGTGACTGTTCGCCTACAAAATAACGTAGAACTTTTCTTTGGTAACATTGGGTACCTGCTGGGATTTTCACCAGAAGAAATTATTTCTAATACCTCTACCGCTGAAAGACAAGTGGATTTGGAATACGGCTTTCACGACCTTTTCATTTACTGTGATCTTATTCAGTCACAATATGTTGGAGATGCATTGGCACCTTTGCTTCGAATTGTTCCTGTAGAAGGAAAGGTTGGGGAACGAGTCAGTAAATCATTTTTGCCCCCCCAATATTTACCTGTCAGCAGAAAGCAATTTGAAACTGTCGAAGTCAATATAAAGACAGACACAGGGGAGTCTGTACCATTTGAGTCTGGGAGAGTGTTGTTAACACTTCATTTTCGTCAAAGTGCACCTCAGTACTTTTAAAGATGAAAAAACTCCACACTCCAAATCACAAGTTGTACGAACAGTACTATGTTAATCAAGCCAAACAAAAAGGTGCGAGTTTACCAGCGTTTCACGGTGCTCGATTTCAGCGTGGTTATGGACTAGGGTCCATATTCAGTGGTCTGTTTCGCTGGGCGATACCTCACCTTCAACAGGGTGCTAAGGTGATTGGAAAAAAGGCTTTACAAACAGGTGTCAATGTCGTCCAAGATGTTCTTGATGGAGATAACATTAAAACAGCAGTCCACAAGCGCACGAAACAAGCCCTCGGTCTACCTTCTCAGAATTCATTGCAGGCACAATCAGGAGCTGGCAAAAAGCTATAAAAAGAAAAGGGCAAGGAACCAAAATCAGTTCGCCTCAAGGCAAGAAAGCAAAAACATCTCCGCAGCAAAAGAAGCCCAAAGAGAAATTTTCTTTCTGGAAGTAACTATGGCCTTTGTGCATCACGAGTCTCAGGAATGTACGAAATCAGAGTTGGATCTCTTTACGATTCCTGCAACACAAACCTCTATCTCCAAAGGGCAATGGATCGAGTACCACCCCATCAGTAACATCACGGACAGTGGTCCGATCGAATTTTATGTTTCCGGAACTGGAGATGAGTATTTGGACTTGGCACGTACTCAGTTATTTGTTAAAGCCAAGATCACAAAAGCAAATGGAATCTCCATAGACGCCGATACACAAGTAGGTCCCTTGAACCTGTTTTTACATTCCCTGTTTTCCCAAGTGGACGTTTCCTTGAACGAGCGATTCATCTCTCCATCCACCAATACCTACCCTTATCGCGCCATGATCGAAACCTTGCTAAACTACGGAGAAGAAGCAAAAACAAGTCAACTTTCTATGGCCATGTTTTACAAAGATACCCCTGGAAAAATGGATGTTGCCAACCCTGTGGCTGCAGACGATGCTGCAAACAAGGGGTTAAAGGTTCGCTATGATTTCACTAAAGAAAGTCATATTGTGGATATGATGGGGTCCATTCATAGCGACATTTTCTTTCAAGACCGGTTGATGCTAAATGGAGTGAATTTAAGAATCAAACTGAACCGAGCCAAGAACTCGTTTTGTCTAATTTCATCAGCAGCCGCTCCAACTTTCAAGGTGGTAATCACAGAAGCCATCTTGTTCGTTCGCCGGGTGAAATTGGCCTCCTCTATTATACTTGGCCATGCGGCTGCACTAAAACACTCCAGCGCCAAGTACCCGGTTCGCCGAATCGATTGTAAAGTGCTGTCTGTTCCAAGAGGATTTAGCAGTTTTAATCCCGACATCTTTTTGGGTCACATTCCTAAACGAAATCGTGCTGGTCTTAGTGGATACTCAGGCATATAATGGAACTTACAGTACCAACCCGTTCAACTTCAAACACCACATTCTAACTCAAGTGGGTGTCTATGTGGACGGAGAGCAAATTCCTCGGAAACCCCTGTTCTTGAATTTTGACGAAGCTAGAGGTCAAAATGTAATAGCGGGCTATCAAAGCCTGTTCTCAGGCACTGGAAAGCTATCCCAAGATGCGGGTAATCAAATCAGTAGAAACGATTATGGCTCTGGTTACACAGCATTCTGCTTTGACTTGTCCCCAGACCACTGCTCAGGTGACCATTTTGAGCTAATAAAGCAAGGTAACCTGCGCGCTGAGCTTCATTTCAAGGAACAACTGGCCAATACGGTTAACCTTATCGTGTCCGCTGAATTCCAAAACGTGATTGAAATTGACGGGAACCGCAACGTGTTGTTCGACTACATAAACTAAAAATGGACACTATTCAACTGACCCGGCCCTTATTTTGAGAAAGGATAAATTTACACGAGGTTTGTTTCAAGGCGTGTATCCCTCAGACCAGCTGCCTGCAAGTGTTTCACATTACCCAGCCTGTTTATCGCCAATGTAGATACGAGTGACAAGCCAGGTTCGCATTGGGTGGCCTTTTATTTCACCAAGGAGCAAGAGGGAGAATTTTTCGATTCTTACGGATCACTACCCAGCAAATATTCAGGAACATTTACTGCCTTTTTAAACAACAATTCTAACCAGTGGACTTTTAATACTGTGACATTACAAAGCATCTATTCAAAAGTCTGCGGACATTACTGTTTGTATTTTGCTTTATATCGTGCTCGGCAAATAAGTATGAGTGCTATTGTCCATCTTTTTTCTAAAAACACAAGTAAAAATGATAGTCTCGTAAAACGATTTATTGAAAAACATTTTCCTATAGGTTTTCCGAAATATCGTACTGATGTAAACAAGCAAAGAGCAAAAGCACAACACTAAGTTCAGTAAACAGACACCATGTAATTTCTTTTCAACACATTTTATTGAATTACAAAATAAAGTTTTGTGTTTCACAATAAAAAAAGTCTCTTGTCATGATTTATAATCGTAACCATCGAACAGCCTGAGGGCGAGGACTCTCGACTCTGCGCCTCTGCTTTTTGACAGAAGATAACGTCACAGGTGGGGTGGGTAGCCAACGCGAAGGACTCTTATGGCACTCTGACGTTGGGGATTACGAACCAAGTTTTCGGGGACATTCATTCGCGCCAGGCCCCTCGCAAACACGGACCACCCCACTGGTTCAAATCCTTTTCGGTGACGCAATGACTAGGTCGACCACATGAGAACCTGGGATTGGTTTGTTTTCATACAACAGCTCTCCTTTATCATTCCAATGCAACACATCCTGGTGTTTTTTAATTTTATCCAACAACTGTAAAGCCCCAGCTTTGTAAATTTTGGGTACACTTTTCAAGACCTCTTCCTCTACTGCTGTTGGAAGAGAATTATCTGGAGAAGCTTCCTCTGTAGATTCTGCGTTCTCAGCTGGTTTGGGGGTTTCTGTTGTTTTAGGGGTCGTTAACTTTACATGGAGAGGCTGGCCTTTCCGCTGATCGTAATAAGTCAAGTACCGTTGCAACACCTGATTGTAAAGCTTCGCCTTTTCCTCATCACCAAGTTGTTTACTTTCTAAAATATCCCCCATTTGGCTATCCAAGATTTTTCAGAGTTTGTGTTACAGGTGGTGTTAATATCTGCTGGCGTTGCTGCAATCGTTCCAGAGTGTTTTCAGGAACGAGAACCATGCGTCTTGTATGATTCATCTTAACTAAGAAGCGAGCTCAACACTCGAAGAACGGGAGGTAGCAAAACACTTAAAAAGTTTCCTCCGTGTTGTATCAAGATTTGCTTTTTCTTGTTTAGCGGGGTACTCTTTTCAGCTAGAGCAGTCAAGCCTTTGTTGTGCTTAAGAAGTTTTCTCTTTGCCGGTTTACTGACAGGGACTGTTTCTTTAAGTACGTTGAATACACACTCACAAATCGTTTTTACTAAAGCGTCGTCGGCTGCTTTCAAAATTGCTTTACGTTCAGCTGGGGTACACTTGACGAGGAACTTAAGAAAATCGTGGTTCTTTCTTAGTCGCTGGGCCATACTCAACTGATATCAATCACTACGACCGAGCTTTTTTATACCTTTCTGACATAGGCGAGCTGAGTCTCCCCAGGGAAAATGTTTGTGCGCAACCGGAAGTCGGTAGGTGTTTCCGGTTTGAGGTCGCATAACAGGTAGCCATAAGGGCGTTTTGTCGCATCCTGAAACGCTTCTTGCATGTATTTGACATGACCGGGAAACATCTGTTTCGCCAAGTGACTGACTTGACTGCTATCTCGCGGAGACTTGAACATCACCAAATAATGGCAATTCAAACTCATGTCTCTCAGTTCTTTTCCCCGGTGAAAAATATTTTGAAGAATGAAAATAACGCTTAAATTTCGGTGATGACAGCCCTTAGTAAACAAATTGGTAATTCTTTGATCATTGCTAAGCTCCTGCATTAACTCGTCAATGACCACTAAATTCCGAATGGTTGGGTTTATCATAGATTCTAAATCACCAGGAACTCCTTCGACGAACGTGATGTTGGGAATAGTCCTTAGCATTTCATCATAAGCCGGTTGGTATATTCCATAACACCAAATGATATTTTCAGGAGCTCCGTCTATTAATTCTTTTCCAGATTCCAACAGGTGTTTGACAAAATGACTTTTTCCACAACAAGTCGGGCCAGCTACAATAGCAGGAAAGGGGTGTTTCCACCTTGGGTCCATGTTGACAACTGACCGGTTCAACTGCGTTTGCTCTTATTTATAGCGAAATGGTCTTTGGCGGAGTATCTTTATCATAAACTCGAACCATGCTGGTATTTTGTAATTTAGCAAACTGGAGCCAATATTTTCTCTCTAAGTCAGACAGCTCGTGTACCTGAGCCAAATGGTTTGCTAATCGAACTAAAAATTTAGAGTGACATCCCGGTATCGGGCAATGACGAGATACACGCTTACCCATGATGTTCACGGTACGAAGGTTCGATATCAAGTGAATAAAACCGCTAATGACACGAAGTTTATGACTATTGAGAACTGGCCACAGGGGCCACAGGGGCCACAAGGGCCTTGTATATCACTGTGTTTTTCCTTTACGCGGGTGATTGAATCGCGCGTGGCGCACACACGCGCGCGCGGCTAGACAGCCAACAAACCGTGTTTAGTATATTATACAATGGGATACAGAGAAAAGTCGACCCGAAGCAAAGACAGAGAAAGCCCCATCTTGACAAAGACAGAGACAAAGACACACCGACTCGAAATTTTAGTCATCATGAAGAAATTTTATTACTTTTAGAAACAAAGCTTATTTTGAATGTCATTTATTATCATGTCAAGGTCCATTGGTGTTCTTCTTTTCTCACGACTCTATCAGGGCATTCTATTGTTTCTTGTTGATCACTGAAATCCTTCCACTTGAGCCCATTTGGTCGGTAGTATACAGCGTATAAAATACGGCTTTGAAGATCATCACCCTGCTGGACAACATCAAGTTCCAGAGAAGCGAGGTAAATACTGGTCCACGACAATATTTGGCAGTACGCTTCCCATGATTTATCTAGTTTGAAGCCGAGAGCACTGCATATACTTTCGGTAGCGTTCAACATAGAATTCAGGTCAATTTGTTCCACCACTTCATCGTGGTAATACTTCCATGCGTCATCATTATCCATCATGAGGCAAGAATGTTGGTTTTGACTTGGGTGTTGAATAGCACAACCGTCGCAGTGATTCAGCTTTTCTTGTCGGATGAGTTTGTCAACCAAAGCCGCATAAGTCAGTTAGAATACATGTCCAATAAAACTGGCTATCCTTTGACGATGGACAATGTTTCAAAGAATGTTGGTGAGAGTTAAGACTTTTTTCTGAGCAAACTGAACTTTTAAGAATGAAATCATGATTGAACAGAGACCGCGTTTGTATGTTGAACACATAATAGATTGTTCACTATCCAATCAGGGTTAAAAGAGCCCTCTTTTTCTGAATCGTCTTGTAGTTTTTGCGACAGGTATTTCATAGGTTTGTCGATAGACAGAGAATTACAATTTCGCAAAGAAATACAACTTGGTCTAGATGGTTGTGAAACAACATTCCTTGACTTTTTTCGAAGTTGGAACTCAATGTCTTAATCGCTTATTTTTTTAAAAATGACAAAAGCTAAACGGCTAATTCTTAATTGCATTTTTTTTTACACAATACCTGGTCTTAAGTTGAAGATTTTTGCATAATCAACCGGCGGCGTGTTTGTCCAAAGACAACTATGGCTGAGAAATAATTCTCTTATGGTGGTCCGTTTTCCAACAAACTACAGCTACAACGGATTGCATTTCAAAAAGTATGGTGTGAGGAAATGACGGAGAAGCAGATTATGAAACCCACGTTGATCAGCAGAACTGCCATTGTTACGCAATATCTACGATTATCCTGATGCCTTATTGGAAATGAACAATTTGTTCAAGCGAAGATTACAACAAAATATGTTAATTGTATCATCTGAAAAAGGACCTACCTACGAAACAAGATCTAAGTTACAGAGACAATTTGGTAGACTACACGTTAAGTGATGATGTAACCATTAGCCAAATCAGTTATCCTTTTGGATACCGAGTGTTGACAGAGTGCGACGCACAAAATGTAGATATTTTATTAGATTTGTAAATAATAAAAAAAAACCGTTCCCGACAGGATTCGAACCTGTAAACCTCGAGTCCCACCTGGCTGACTGGACTCATTGGCCGAAAGCGAGAACTTCTTGCCAATACCGGCGATGGCCACCGAACCACCGCTTTCCCGGCCATTTTTTTGATGACTTTTTAAACTTTTTAAAACGAAATGGGCGTGACGTCACTAGGAGGTCACACACGTCCCGATTGTAACGCTAGGTATGACCTCAGAATAAAATTGGTTGAAACGTGACTTTTCGCGTGTCTTACACGACGGGGGGATGTTGGGAGACTTTTCGTGATGGTTTTACATGTAGTACTAACCCTATGAAATCCTGGACGCTGATTGGTCGAGAGTTAATTAATTCAGTCACGTGTTTGAATACTCGATTCTGATTGGTCGTGCCACCCAGTAGCGACTATTACTACTAACCCCTATCTTTAATAAATTTAGTTAGCCATTCCTATGGGTAACTCGTGGATTAATTATTTTAGGAATAAAAGTTGATAATGAACTTGCAATTAGTCTAGCGGTGTATTTTAAGTTTGTCAAAAAAATGAAAATATGTTTTGAGAAAAAAGCAAAACCAAACAAAACGACCAAAAAAAAAAATTTCTCTAGTGGGAGTCAAGCCTCCTACCTTCGACGTGCAAGGTCAAGGCGTTATCTATTGCGCAACGACAACTAATTTTAAACAAAATCGTTCAATTTATTTATCCTTAACATTTTTGCCCATAAAATTCTCCGGTGGACGCTGGTAGAGCTTTATTTATGAGGAACTGAAAAATAAATTCGAGGAAAACAAGCATGGTTTTGACATACTGAGGGGGACATTGGGGGGTACCCAATACCGCAATACTGTAAGAAAAAATGGCAAATACCGAAATACCGCGTCGAAAATCGTCTAAATACCGATACCGCATATTTTAATCACATTTATAATCGGTTGCGCATACTTATGGTTGCTTCCATCTAGCGCGTTTAATTATCTCAAGCATTTATGCACCAGATGTCCATGTTTTTTTTTAATATTTTGGTAGTTCGCAATTTTCGGCAAATTTTCACTGAAAAGTAAACTACATTCGTTCAGCCTTTTGGTATTTCGACCCGACAGCTAATTAACTCCAATAAAAATAACTCTTGAAACCGCGAAAAACAAACCAACCAAAACCCTTTCCACGCACGTCTAGTGCGAGTTTCGATATAAAGTGAGTCTAGTCTAGCACGTCAGTCTCTCAGGGGTCAGATCACACGCCACGCCATCCTCGGAGACCCAGGGGCAGATACTGGGGACGAGGGAAAGTCTAAACGGGCGGAATGTCTTACCAGACCAGTTCCAAACGGTCGCCGCCGTTTTGGCTTCTGATTGGTGCCAGAAAAACACAAGTTTTCTGGCACCAATCAGAAGCCAGAACGGCGGCGACCGTTTGGAACTGGTCTGGTAAGACATTGTCCCAGGGGCTCTTCTCGCCGTTCTTTACTTTTCTTCGTTCCATATATATTTTTCCGCCCGTTTAGACTTTCCCTCGCCCCCTTTATCTGCCCCGGGTCTCCGAGGATGACGCCGCGCTGTTAAGAGGCAAACTTACCAAATTTTCGCTTTTAACTTTACAAGGCGTTTTTCAATTCTCGAAACCCAACATCTAAACTTATTCTTGTTGCGAAAATGTTCGCCTCCTTCGCCCTCTTCATAAAAAATTGCCACACAGTCAATAATGACCACGCCGTCTTCAACCTCAGCGACCTCAGACATTGTGAGAAAACGTTTAAGACCTCGAATTACCGGCACAGGTACACAGATCGACAAGCCTGGTAAGGTAACTTGAGACGACTCATTATCACTGGATGCAACAACAATCACATTGTATATTATCGACCATTAACTGTCACAAAATGACCCACAAATGGTGTAATCATTTACCGTTATGTCTCAAGACTTCTAAATATTAACTTTTATTGACCTTTATGTCTTACTGTGTTTTGTTTTGCGTATTGTATCGAAAGGAAAGCGCAAATAAACGGTACCGTAATACCGTGAACAATCTTATTTCACCGAATACCGTCAGCCAAAATGATGAAAACCGCATACCGCAGAGCTAGATGATACCGCAATACCGCACGTTAAAATTAAAATTACCGAAATACCGCATGAAAAAAAGCCCAATACCGCAATACCGTAAACCCCCATGTCCCCCTCCATACTTTGTCGGTAAAAGCAGTACTTTAACTCAAGGACCTTAGGTGTCTCGCAAAAGCGTCGTGAAGACTCCTGGCGTGACAACTGGCGGCATTGTACAGTTTGCAATTCCGCTGCGTTAACAGTCACGAGTACTCAACGAGAAAAAATTCGAAAGTGATTGGATATCGTCTCCAATAATATTTTGACAGTCACTAAGTGTTTTTTGGTTGATTAGTAACTTCTGTGGGAAAATTATATCCGCTCCCCAAAGCCAGCTAAAGTACAATATCCAGGCAGGATCTTTACCTTAAGAGCTTTTCCCAGCTAGGATTTTTACCAAAAAGTCATTTTCCCAGCCAGGAATGTCTATTTCTTCCTTTTTTCACAGCAAAAGATAACTGATAATTAGCCAGCCAGGAAAAAGAAATTGAGCCATTTTCTCCAGGTGATTGGAAAAAAATGGAGATAAGTAGTGTTCTGAAACTTTTCCTTTGCCTGTGACCGCGGTACGCATTTAGTAGGCGGGTTTTAATTTCTAATTTCTAATTTCTAATTACTGTGTTGTCTGCGTCATTTCGCGGGCTTTTCAAGCTCAATGGTCTGTAGGAATTAAAAATCTTCAGCTCAATCCAAGTGCGAGCGAAGTTGGGAAAATTAAAGAACTGGTCAGTCACCAGATTTGAATACTAAGACTAAAACTATGACTCCCTTACAACCTCGTTCCCAGGGTAAGAGAATGGTAGTCTTTACACTAGAGCCTAAATAAGCTAAGACATGTTTCAAGACAAGTAAATTTTAATTACTTCAAGTAAATTTCCTTCAGGTTATATTCCCACACAACAAAATTAAGATTGATTGACATGTCTCGCCTTTCTCAAGCTCAAGAAACCGCAAAACCGCAAGTAAGCTAAGTCGGTCATAAGGATGGTTTTCAAGTCGCTTGAAACTTTCTTGAATCGTTTCAACTTTCCGACTTTAATAAGATGCTAAGCAAAGTTACTTGAGATCTTACTTAGCCCTTCACACACGAATTTTTGGTTAAGTAAAACTTAACGGCTCTTAAGTCTTACTCGACAGCCTAGTGTAAAGACAACCAATGTCTGTAAAATATTTTGGCTATTAAACGTCCGAAACAACCGTTGAACCTATATCATTTAACAGGTATCAAGTTCGGTACATGAAAAGTTCGACGTTTGAATTGTGCCTATTAACTGTGTCTTCTTTTCTTCTTCTTTATCCGTCATTTCTTCGCGCAAAGCCCTTAACGATACTTGTGTGGGTCCAAGTATGGCTCTCAGTCCTTAACTCGAGTAATGACACTAAACTGATCTGCAATTTACCCGTACCCCTAAACAAGGCGTCAAGTATCCCCGTCTTTTTATATGGGGAAGCATCAGTCCCCCCGGGCATTAACTAAACATTTAATAGAATTGGATCATATAAAATTGGTATTTACTTATAGTTGAGGCGGCTGGCCTTTCACAAACATAGTTCATGTAGAGACCTTCACAGTTGTCGGGCTCTTCAATCATTTGAGGGCCTGTCTTCATTCGTCTACATTTTGATGAGTTCCTGGTGTTGTCAACCCACACGTACTTAAAAATGGATACAGACAAGACATTAACAAATCTAGTTAAGTACAAACAAGACCCCCATATTAAATGGGGGTTCATTCAGGTCTGCCGGAGCCGGGGATGGATAGGCAAGTTAGCCTTATAAAATAAGAAATGATTGGCATTAGTTTGGAGTCATTAATTTTGCCCCAAGTTTCTTGTTTTACATATATATATATATATATATTTACCTTTATTTATAAACAGTAATTTTCTGTCTCTTAAAACTTGCAAAGCACTTGCAAAGCAAATTAAAATCAGTATTATTTCTATTGGACAATGCATATAAAGCTTTTGTTACTATCCAAGTGATTGTGTCAATTTTACGGGCGATTTACAAATTGCACATCCCTTTCTTGCAAGGAGAGAATTTTCACACGCAGGGAGAGAATTATAACAAGTTGAAGCTTTTCCCGTGAGGACGGTGGGAGGAAATTGTTTCTGCAGCTCCCGCCCAGGCTAACAACATCATCGAATACTGTACTAAGATAATCATTCGGGTCGAGCCACCTTAAGGCTATCATTAAGGGTACTTTAAAACATGAAAACTTGTCAAAAAGTTTTTATAGCCTCGTCACTAATCATGAGGCGTTTGTTATTGTCGCATTAATCGAAAAATGCTGCAAATCACTGCCATCCACCTTTAAAATAACGGTAGTGCTTTTTTTACGTCTTTTTTAGTAAGCCTAGATTGACAGACGGTGCACTATTACTAAACATTGCACAACAATAGAGAGAAGTGTGACGTCACCTTATCATGGTAGCAAAATTCCTGTATCTCAACAATCGTATGGAAGAAAAGTATTGGCCACTTTAGAAAATACCGTAATAATCTTTTTGTCCCCCGCAAAAACATTTTGCATAGCCATTGTAGTTTCAGTTTGTTTTGAGACGATTCTAAGAAAACAATCGTTATGCAAAATTTTGGGGGGGGACAAAAGGATTATTATGGTATTTTTTAAAGTGGAGAATGGGCTACTAACTGTTTTGTTCCTGTGATCAGAACAATCATGCATAGGAGAATATTCAAACAACTCAGCAAGAAGAAGAAGATATGAGTAAGCATGTCTTTACGCTTGATTTTAACACATGGTGATGCCTGCAGTAAATAACTCGTACTTACACCTATTTCCGCTTTCCTTACACCAGAAAGTTCCAGGAAAAAAATGAAAAATAGGTGCTGATAGTAATTATCTATCGTCACCAGACCTCCTCCGAAGTCAAAACATGCCTTTTGAGCATCTATCCATGTATTTTTTTTATTTTCTTTGTAGCATGATGACCCACTGAGATACCAATCGGAAGAACAAGCCAGTGGACCTAATTTAAAGAACAGTCAGTAGTGCACCAAATTAAGAAAGTCAATCTGATGGGTGACAAATTGGCGCGAAATTTCAGCGATAATTTATAATTTCACATGTGAAATTATAAAATTGTCTAGCAACCTTTCATACGTCTCAGTGCTAAGATGGCGGCAAAGTTTTTAAATGTTAGAAATGAAGATGTCAGGGCATCAAACGACGGTTAAGAAAACCTAAACACACGAAAGAGCACATCAAGAAGGATTCTATCAGGAATTTTGTCGAAGAAGTCTGAAACTTATAAACTTAAGGAAAATTTTAAGCTTTATTAAGTTTTCAGTGCTTGGATTTCTCGTTCGATAATCTTGTGATAAACATGTCAAAAACCTACGATTGTGAGCGTAATTCGTTAGTGGGGTCACCCATGATATTAATCAGATGTAATCAAATGGTATACTCGTGAAATTAGGTAGTAATTTCCCTCGCCCACATTAGTAGAATTTGGACAAGAGTGTAACACCCGTGAAATGGAGGCATTTGACTGACACATACATGTACTAATCCGACAAGAGCGAAAACGTGAGCAGTGAACCAGTTAAAACTCAAAGTAACTTTGGCGATAAGTGTAGGAAAAAACGAAAGCAAAACAAGTCCCCAGGGGAGAAGTCACCAAAAAAGATAATAGCGGAACTTGTCCTACCTTTTGGGGTTAATATTTGATTTGTGGATTGATACCACTTAGTGGCCGGCTCTTATCTAAAATATGAACATATTAGATGTTGCCATAAGAGCGGTTTTCGTACCTTTAGAAGCCTGTCGAGGTGTCTCGCGGAAAATTATAAGATGTATTTTGGTTACTCAACCGTTTTTTCCGTATTTGAGCCACACACAGATACTATATTCTGATATCTTTTAGGGGTGTATTTTGAAAATTTCGACGACCCCCCCCCGAACAAGTCAAAACTTAAGTTTAATCTTTATTTGGCAAAACTGCTCAAAACAGACCATATATATGCAAAACTACAAATTAAAAACTGATCCTCACATCAAGAAGACTGAGAGAATACAGAGATGAAATATAAAGGAATATCAGAATCTAATTGTATCCTTATATTTGTTTACAGAAGGTCCGGTACTCCTCACTGGTTTGTAGCTGTAGTTTATGAGATGTTTTTAACTCAAAAACACAACGTTACCCCGCCTATCCTTAATTTTTTTCTTATCAAGTGCTTTCTTAGGAACAACTTACCTTTCGCCCTTTCACAGATGAAATATTTGTTTTTCTTGCAACATTTGGTGAGGTTCAAATCATTTCTGAAGATTTCGCCACATTTGTCTTCACATACAGTACTATTCATACAGTACTCAAGCGACTCGACGAAAAAAGACCCATTAAAAGATTCTCCATTGCTCCATAAATATTCATTTTTCTGGAACTGATAAACCAGCCCAATCCAAGCTGGACTTTTGTCGGTGATCTTGGGAGAAAGGCTATAAACAAAATCCATTTCCTTTTTATTCGCCACACTTACAAGGTCACCTCCAAACCCATAACACACGCTTAAAGCTCTCGACCAACTGAATTCCCGCGAATAACCGAAACTATCCATAACCTTGTAGCACGAGTTTTCAAATTCTCTCCAATCTTGAGGACATGTGAGGTGTCGGCCTTATAGAGAAAAGCAAAGAAAATTACATAAGAATGGAGGGGACCAACTCCCGGAAGATGTCCGTTGAGATGACACTAATTAATAATAATAACTTATGTTCAAATGCAAGCTAATGTAGCTGTTTTTTATGAAGCTACAATTAGGAAGACAAACAGTAATAATACGTAGAATAAAGTTTCACTGCTTTATCAGAACCCTGCCCATAGCATGTAATAAGACTGCAAGAAAGAAATAGAGGATATTACATGGCCGCGCAGAGATACGAAATTTCTCTTCGAGTGTTGAAAACTATGATATTCCACGAGTGAGCGCAGCAAACGAGTGAAATATTTTTCAACACGAGAAGAGAAATTTCGTATCTTCAAGCGGCCATGTAATTTTCTATCTATTATATAAACACCGATGAAATGCCAAACCATTCCCCTTATATATTTTTTTGCTGTGAAAGGCGCGATTTATTATGTAGCCATAGCAACGGTGATCTTTTCGCATCTGAAAATAACATGTGAAGATATCATGTTTTCGCGCGAAAGCTCACCTGGTATTTCATTGGTGTTTATATAATAAAATAAACTCTTAGAGCCTGTTTACATGGAGGTCGGCGACCCCAGGTAGGTGAGGTAACCCGCTTAGGTGGGGTAACCCGCCTGTCCATATACTTCTCATTTTAATTTGATCACGTTTAATTACATGATAGGTGGGGTGACCCGCCACATGTTCTCTCACCTACCTGGGGTCCCCCACCTCCATGTAGACAGGCCCTACCACGTATCTTGTTAAAAACATGCAAGGTTCTTAAGTATTACAGCTTTTATCTTAATTGGTTTAGCTTTTGACTATTTTGGGAGACCAGTAGCAGCGAATAGTATCGCAGAGGGATCCCTTCATGGGGCAATCCTAGATAAACTTGAAAACAAAAATTCTTAGAGAAGAGTAGGAGCCTGTTAATCTCACTCTCTTCCCGACTTTTTTTTTGTTTATTTCCATGGCATTGCTGGTTTTCACATGACGTCATCAAACTAATTAATTATCTATCCACCCTAGTTTTTACTTTTATGACGAATTAGTATGTGTAATCAAACTGTGACTCGTGAAATCAGGGAATAATTTCACGCTCGTGTGAAATTATTCCCTAATTTCACGAGTATACTATTTGATTATTTATTATTATGGGTGACGATCTACGCTCGCAATGGTTTGTTTTTGTCATGTTTATCAAATTGATTATAGGTCGAGAACCCTGCGCACTGAAAACTTTAGAGCTTAAATTTTGGCTTAAGTTCATAGTTTTCAGAATCTTTTAACAAAAAACCTGTTAGAGTCTTTCTTGATATACTCTTTCATGTGTTAAGGTTTTCTAAAGCGTCTTGCAATGTCCTGGCATTTTCATTCATAACATTTGAAAACTTTGCCGCCATCTTAGCACTGAGACGTACGGCATGTTGCCACGGCAATTTTGTAATTTCACATGTGAAATTGTAAATTAATGCTGAAATTTCGCGCCAAAATTAAGGAGTAATTCGTCACCCATGATATTAGAGCAGCTAAAGAACAGTTATCGGTCTGCGGTATTTACTGAAGTGGACGCGAACTACTAGCCACCAACACTAAGGTGAATATATTGTTTACTTTTAGTTATGTATAAAATAATATAATAAAACAGTGAGATGAATTTGAGCACAAAAATGATTTTTAACTCATTTATTGCTGCAAACGATTACATTTTTGGTGCACAAATGGCCAAACGGCCGTCACGTTTTCTTGCCGACAAATAAAACTTTTGAAGGTATTTGTTTAGCTCTTGCGGGGACATTTCGTGAACAAGAGTGGTGAATTTTTTTTAACGCAACACTTAATTTGCATTATTATTTCCAAATGAAATTTAAATATTTCCCTAATTCTGATTGGCTAAAAGCACACGCATAATCCACCATAACCAGTTACTGATGACCAAATTTGGAAGAATTTTCAGTTTAACGAGGAAATGACGTCAAAAATGAAGCCTTCTACAAGTTAAGGCACCGTTAAC